GGGAGGGGGGGCTGGGCGGGAGGCTCCCGCAGGCTAAAAACAAACGCAAACAGTTCAGACTGTTTGGACAAAGTTGATTTCAGGGTCTCCGAAAGGTCCATAGGGAACCGGCCTAGCAGCATCCCTGAGCGCTACAAAGCCCAGGTTCTCCATATCCCGAGAACGAGAAACGTGGGAATTGTGGACTCAGCGACTGAAATTGACAGGCAGGTGTGGCCAAAGGCCGGAGCAGTCAGAAGTGCGGCTTAGGATGCCTCTCCAAGCCAGCCCTCCCTCCAAATCTCAAGATGGACTTGCTCAAGGAAACGCATTCTCTGATGAGAAGTCCCTACCACTCCACTCCTCCTCTTTCCTGCCTTGGAAGAGCAGAAGTGCCCAGGGCATGTTAGCAGAGAGCTTTCACAGTCTTTTTATCACACACTCAAGTTGTTTTTTGTTATTTCGTGACTGAGGTCTGCTGCCTTTGGAGGTTAGAGCTGCAAAATGCATTGTCTGTTAGGGTCGCTATTGGAAACGTGAATCATGAGCCCAGGCAAACTTTTCTATCTACTGGAAAGCCTTTCTTTTATCACTTTTAAAAGAGAGCAAAGCAAGAGATTTCAGGGTGGCGGGGTGAATCCTGGCTAATAACTCCTGTCTCAAAGAGGAATGCAGTTGAAAACGGAGTGAGGGTGGTCTTCTAGCTCCAGTAGGTCGTGTGCCTGCTCACAGAGAAGTTGGGAAGTTGTTGTTGCGGCTGTTGCTATTTAGAATGTGCCTGTGTGCTGCAAATGGGATGTCATGTCAAAGGGGAGAGAGAAATGATGTCTTTTTAAAATGCTACTGAAATAAAAAGTCTGCTCACAGAGAAGTTGGGAAGTTGTTGTTGCGGCTGTTGCTATTTAGAATGTGCCTGTGTGCTGCAAATAGGATGTCATGTCAAAGGGGAGAGAGAAATGATGTCTTTTTAAAATGCTACTGAAATAAAAAGGTTGTGGGAATTGCCAATCCTGTTTTATTGGCTCCAATTTTAAAACCTTTTTTAATGAGCCCTAGCAGAGGGTTTCTTTCTCTTTTTAGAAAAGAGAAACAGTATCTTCTCAGTTTCTCATGATAATTACATCATGATTCCGGAAGCCAGGCTACTCCAGCCTAAACCACCAAAGTGTTACATTAGGAGAGTACATGGTTTGAAAATCTATCCTGGCATTTTCCCATTCAGAATGGTGTCTATAGGATAGGGCCCACTTTGTGCAGCCTAACGGGATTAAATGTTTTGGGCTTTAAAAAATTTTCTTTCCACCAGACCTAAGTAACTAACATCTTAAGAAATGGAAGATATTCTCTACAGTTGTTTAGGCAGCACTAGAGTTCATGTGAGGCCAACAGGAGGCACGAGAAATCCTGTAAGTTGATTTTTCTAATATCTGAAGGAGATGAGTTAATGAATTGTGGTGTCAAAAGATGACAGTAGGAAAAAAAAGCACAGACAAGAATCCAACCCCCCATGTGTTTGAATAGTGAACACGGGAGTCAAGTGAGAACAAGACCATGAAATGTATTTTTATTTTGTAAGGGTTTTTCATTTTTCTAGAGATCAAAATGGCAAGCTCAGTGTTATAGGCAAATATTACCACACCAATGGGCATTGGTCACTAATATTGTTATTTTAATTTTTATCACTTTTAAATGACCTAGAAGTATACTTCATTTAACATATATCTTACATAACCAAAAATTCAGACAACACAGTGATAGCCCTGGACATGCATTTATTATATATTTTTTTGCATTTATTATATTTTTAAAAATATGTATAATCTAGTATAAATTCAGATACCCAGATGGGTAATAAAATCAAGGTTTGTCTTGTTCTAAGAGTAATTTTGGCAGATGAGCTTTATAAACTTGATCCAATAAATAATTTTTGAAGCCCTCACTGCACTTTCGTCTAATAAGTATGTCCTAAGATTCAATGTTAGAAGAGTTGACTTTCAAAATGCAAAATCCATTTCCTACCTTAGTCTGGATTCAGCATACCAGCTGGGGCCTGCTGGCTGTCCTGGCGGATGGCTTAGATACCAGGCTGCCTGGCTCCGTGACGACACCTTCCAGCTTCACTGGGCCATATCATTTGAAGGATATGTACTGGTGTCTGACCACTGAATGCTTACAAGTGTCATGGATGCTGCAAGAATCTGATACTTCTACGGTAGGAAGAAAACTATTTTCCTTTAAAAGAGGAAGACATAGAAAAGAAAATAGTTTATGTAAACCTATTGTTGATCTATTGTTGATTTCAGAGTAATATAATTTAGACTTTGTACCATTATTAGAAACTGTAGCATTTTAAATTTTAGGAACTAATCACATTATTCTAATTTTAATTTGCAGAAAGAATGCAAAATTAACCATCAAGATCTTAACTTTAACATAGACAAAAATGCTGTGAGTTGCCACCAATAATATTAAATCAGCCCATTTATTATAGCATCCACGTAATATGAAAATGTTCTCTCAGACTTGTATGTAGTTTAACAGGGGTAAATGTGTTAACCAATTGTTTTTAAAATTATGTCACTTTTATTGAAGACAATTGAATGGAAGGACATTAATTTATTACTTTTTATTCACCTGGAGTTTGTAAAGTCTAAATATGGAAGAGTTTCTCAAATTTTAAAGAGGGATATGGAAAAATTAAAATTAACCAGTCTATTGGAATAAGTACAAAATAAAAGCAAATAGAATAACTTCAAAAGAGAATTTACTTGTTTAATAATGTATGTTATCTATAAAAAGTAGGTATATTAATATAATAATAATTTAAACACTATTTTAAAGATTATTAAATAATTTTGTACTTCTCATAAGCTAAAAATAAAGCATAAAGTCTTTACATAAATACTCAAATTAATTTTAAATTTTTGATGTAGTTGCTTAGTTTTCCTGAGTATGTCATTTGCCCTCAGATTCATTTTCTGTTTTAACAAACTAAACATTAGGACAATAAATAAAATAAAATAAGAAACGTGTTACTTGTATTCAAATACATACATAAGTAATTTAAGATGACAGGGCTTGATAGAGGATATAAAGTTTCAGTTAGAAAGAGGAATAAGTTTTAGTGATCTATTATTGCACACCATGATGACCATAGTTAATAATAATGTATTGTGTATTTCAAAATTGCTAAAAGAGTAGATTTTTTAAAATCTCACCACAAAAAATTAAGTAGATCAGGTGATGGATATATTAATTAGCTTGATTTAATCTTTCTGCAACATATACACTATCAAAACATCACGCTGTACTCTAAAAACATACACAATTTTTTTGTCAATTAATTTTTTTTTAATTTTAAAAAAGATGACAGGATTTGAGTAGAAAGAACTTAAAATATTTTGAACTCTATTTCTTGGTTATTTTCCTTTTGTTTTATTGAAGGAAATATGACCCTTAAGAAATACATAATTAAAAAGTTTCCAGAAAAGTCAATATTAAAGTCTTCTAAAGCATGAAAACTTAATTTAATAAAGCAACATGATATACAATGTTTAGTAGATTAAAAAGTAAATATCAGAAGATTTATAGTCTAAGTTTAACTTAAATAACCCATAAAGTTTCTTTTTTATTTGTATTTTTAAATTTTAATGCATAATGCAGTAATTATACCAAGTAAGTCAGATTGGACTTACTAACTTTTACATTTTCATTGCACCTTACAGAATGTAATAGTTAAATGAATGCTTATTGAAAGTTGAGTGAAATTGAAAAAACAAACTGTACCCCACAAATATGTATAAGTAAATGTTAAAATACATTTTTTTAAAAAGTTGAATGAATTAAGATTATGAAATAAGAAAGGCTGTTGCACATAACAGAGATCAATTGAACCTTCTCCAGAAAAACACCTGTAATAGAAAAGCGTTCATGAAAATAATTATATATTTTTAAACATCTAATCACCAGCTATTAAATCCTGTGTAGAGTCCTACACTGAAGTGTAGTTTTCAAGAAATTAGATTTTATAGACAATAGGAGGCTAACTTACAAAGATTTCACTTTCTACAAAACATAGTCTATTTGAAGATTTCACATAAATTAATGTAAAATTCTATTTAAACATCAGGAGTGCTAATTATCTTTCTGCTAAAATTACTTGCAATGATTAAAAACCCATTAGATTTTCAAATACACAGCATTGATTCTTGGCTTTGGCACTTAGAAAGTGTTTCTTTAAACGTAGGATAATATTTTCTATTGTTTTTCTTCTTAAGAACTGAATAACGACCTTAATAAAGCAAACTAATCTTGTATTCATGCATTCTCTAAATTGTTACCTCCTTTATCAATTTGATATCCTCAGATTAGAAGTTGTTAGGTAGTTAGATTTTGTATCAGAAG